CGTTGGGTTCCCTTGATCAGGGGGCACCTCTTCCCTGGGGGTCAGTTTTATCACCTGTGAAATGGGCGCCGACGTGCGCCCTGGGGGAGGGAGGGCCCGGGTCCCCGAGGAGGCCCCGCAGCCCACCGTGGGGGACATCCCCACTGGGGAGCGCCTGGAGGAGGGGGCTGGAGGGCCTGAGGTTGGCCCTGGACCCCGAGCAAGCTGCGGGGAATTGGGAGTCTGCGACTTCAAAGGCCGCTTCTGGTTACTGAGTCCCAGAGAGATGGCTCTTCTCCTGGGAGGCAGGGAAATCTTTAACCTGCAGCTCTGCGTGGGGACTGGGGGGGTCGGGAGGTCCGGGAGGACCGGGACAGACCTCCCCGCACTCCCCCCTTGTCTGGATGCCGACCACAGACTTGCTGGTTGAGCTGCTTACACCACCCGTTTTGCAGATGAGGAAACTGAGGTTCGCGTCAGGATGTAGCCAAGTGGAATTGAAACCCAGGGCTGTCTGGCCCCAAAGCCCTCCTGCTTGGCACCCAGAGGTGCCCTGGAAGGGATGGGGGTGGGATGGGCCCATGGCTCCTCTGGCTCAGCTTCTAAAGCGAGGGCCTTGGGTTGTGGTCATGGTGGTGGTGGCCGCGTGAACCCCGGAATCCTAAGGAGACTTCGTGAGTGAGCTTGGTTCTGGGATGCTGATAACTACTCCAGGATTTCAGTTTTGCCACTTTTGCTCTGGCTCCGGGCAGGGACAGGGGTCCAGCTTCCTGACTGCTTCATGAGGAAGGTGAAGAGGTGACCTCCTTAGAGAGGTGAGGTAGAAGGGTCAGGCCCCTATCATCTGTGAGGTTGAAAGTGGGGCCTGTGTAGAGCCTGTGTGGGCCCCAGTCTCATCTCTGCCACCGCACTGCTGTGTGACCTCGAGCTAGTCCCTTAGCTGTCTTCTGTAAAATGGGGGGAGCAGGAGGGCAACCCCCAGGGCTGTGGCGAGGACAGGCGAGCTGCCATGAGCCCTGTGCAGTGCCTGGCGCACACTCAGCGCAGCCTCAGCCGTTACTGTTTGTGCTGGTGGTTGTTGCCACCAACACCTTAATCAAAAGGGATAAAAAAGGTAATTGACCATGTCCACATTTCTCCAGTTCATTCTGTTTGAGTAACAGTGGGAACCAGAAAGGCTAGGGATCCCTCTTTCCCACCTTTATTGGTAAATCGGGGGTGAGGGGTTTCCCAAACACCAAACACGTGGCAAGTGGCACTCATGGGCCACTCAGGGTCATGTTTGAAATGGAGCAAGGTGAATGGAGTGTGTGACATGAACAGGAAGGGAAAGGGATGAGATAGGCAGTGACCAGGTTAGACCCAGGAGCCCAAAAGTCCAGGCTGAGAGGGGCATGCCAGACGTGTGGTCTGGAAAGGTCCCTCTGGCTACAGAGTGGGGGCCAGGCAGGGAGGCCGGTTTCCAGCCTGGGGAAGTTGTCCAGGTAAGAGATGTGAGGCCCTAGGTGGGGATTGGAGAAGGGCCACTGGAAGGAGATGTCGGCGGGAGAGAAATGCACAAGGTTGAGCTCACTGTGCCTGGCACATAGTAGGTGCTCAGTAAACCTCTGTGGCCCAGCTGAGCAACTGAACACATCATTTTGAGACAGGAGTCCTTTGAGCTCCTTCGTTTGTTCCTGGAAGGGAGTCCACATGAAATGGGCATCTCTACCCCTCACAGGCCCCTGACCTGCTATCTGCCTTAGTTTCCCCCCACTTGATTCTGGGAAAGACATTCCAGGTTCCTCCCCAAATCCTAGGGACCGAGGGAACAGCTCTGTGTCTTGTCACACATAGAATCTGGGGAGCCAAGAGGACATTTCATGCCAGCCGGCCCTCTGGAATGTTCTGCATTGCTAATTTGGAGAGGAATTCACCTGTTAAAGATTAATTCCGATCTCTTGAGATATCTGTGATCTTGCGCCCCACAGTTGCTGCTCTGAACTCTGGGTACAAGGTTCTGCCTGGCTTTCTCCGAGCCTGGGCTGTGTCAGTGGTCATGATGACGATAGCGAGCATTTATTGAGCACTTGCTATGTGCCAGGCACTGAGCCAAATACCCTTAGCACATGTGGATACAAAACTATGATTGTACCCATTTTTGAGAGAGAGGAAATGAGGTCTGAGCAGTGAAGTCGCTTACCCAGGGTCTCTTAGCTGGGAAGGGGCAGAGCTGGGATCAGAACTCCATTTGTCTCATTTCAAAATCCCTGCCCTTTACTTCCAAGGTGGCTTGTCCTGGTTAGTCTGGGCCAAAAGTTGTTGGGAAGATGCTCTGTAGTATAGAGATAAGAACCGGACTGATACTAGGGGAGCTCAGGCTAGTCACCTGGTCTCTCTGAGCCTCAGTTTTCTCATCTGTCAAATGGGCTCTCAGCTCCCACTTTGCAAGGACAGTCAAGGCATGCGGATGGGGCTCCAAAACACCATCTTCTTTCTCATCCTGTCCCCGGGCCTGTTCCAGGCCATGTTTTCCTCCATGTCATCACTCGGGTGCCCCCTCAGAGCCCCTCTGTGCTGGGCAGGTGGGTGGGAGGTAGCAGGGGCAAAGCTAGACTTGTGTTTGGACGAAGGACGATGCCTTTTCAGCCATGAAATATTTACGGTTGTCACCTAAGTGCCAGGGGCCGTTGATGTTTCCTACTTTCCAGATTTAATGCTTAAAAACTAGGTCTGGAGCCTGGCTACCTGGTTCAAATCTGGCTCCCAGTAAATCCCCTTTCTCCCGGGACCTCGGTTTCTTCATCTGTAAAATGGGAATGATGGTGCCAGCTTCATGGGGTGGTAGTGGACTGTCTTTAGCGCAACATTGACTGTTTAATTTATAACGAATGTCTAGTGCCCCATGTTCACTTCGATGATGTCATAGCCTCACCTCCACTGGAGGGGGGCAGGGGCAGGGGCAGGAAGGCTGCCTCTCATTTTACAGCTGAGAAAACAGACTCTGAGAGAAGCAGTTTGCCCAGGATGCCCTGCTGGCTCATGGCAGAGCTGGACTGGAAGCCAGATATGAATGACTCTCGTCCCCTTGGGTCCCTGAAAAGCCCAGTGACCGCCCTAGCTTCCTTCCTGGAAAACCACCTTGGACTCACCCTTCTTGGAGTCTGAGCCACCTCGGTTTACATCTCAGCTCTGCCACGCACTGCTGTGTGACCTCAGGAAGTGGCTTAACCTCTCTGTTTCTGGGGCTGCCACCTGGGGTTTGCTGGAAGTCAGAGTTTTGCCAGTGTGAGGGGTATTTGGGGTATTCCACTCCTGCCCCTGCCTTGGGTGTCCTTGGGTTCCATGAGCTGGCACCCTGACTGTAGGAACAAGGAAAAGGCCAGGCCCTGATTTGTATTGTGACTCCGACTTCCTGCCTCTGAGCGCCTTCCTGAGAATCAGTTTCTCTTCTCTGCCCCAAGCCCTGGTCACTGCTGGCTGTGTGACCCCAAGGAGGTGACCCCACCTCTCTGAGCAGGTTTCCTCATCAGTGAGGGTGGGTCACAAAGACCATGCCAGGGGCATAGGAGGCCCTCCATCCACACTCACAAGTCTGCCCCAGATGAGCTCAGGGGACAGGAAAGGCCACAGAAGGAGGTGATGCAGGAGCGGGGATGACAGTGGGCCATTGACCAAACGGGAACCTTCTTCTTTTTCCCCAGTGGTGGGTAAGAAGCAACGGCCGCCCTGCCCGCCCTGCCAGCCCCCCACACAAAGGGCTGCTCAGTCTCCCCAGGCGCCTGTTTTTCCTGAGGGTGGAGTGGCCTGGGTTACACCCGGCTGACCAGGAGGGCTGACCACCTTCTGGAACAGCTCCTCGTGTGTGTGTGTGTGTAGGGAGGCACTTCCCACATACACCCCAGATGGGCCCCATGGACTCAGAGGAGACCCAGCGGGATAGGGGCCAACTGACCTCAGGTGGGTACCTGTTGGCCCGGTTCTCTCCTGTCTTCCCTTGGCACAGAGGAGAGGCTTAGAAATACATAGATGGAGTGAATGAATGAATGAATGAATGAATGAATGAATGAATGAGTGATTGAACAGACAGATCAACAAGGCAGGGGTGTCAGAAAAACCACCTGCTCAGATTCTGGCTCCGGTTCGGAGACTGAATGAGCTTGGGCAAGTGTCCTGGCCTCTCTGAGCTCCACTTTCCTCATCTGCAAAAATGGACTCATGATAGCTGCCTCCCTCATAGGAGGACACTGGGTTTCATAGTAGGTGCTCAGTAAATTACCTGTGAAAGGGTGAGAGGGAGGAATAGCTGGTTCGTGGGGTAGAGGTTCAGCTTTGGAGACCTGCCTGCCCCTGTCTGGTGAGAAAGACTAAGTTTGCCTTTTCATGTGTACCCATGAGTTCATTTGTTCACTCACTGAATCCCTGATTTGTTCATTCAGCAAGTATATCTTGAGCAGCTACTATGTGCCAGGCCTTGTTCTAAGCTCTGGGGACTCAGTGGTGACGGGAGAAGAAAAGGGTCCTGCCCTCCTGGAGCTTGCACCCGAGTTCCCATCATTCCACACGCCGTCCTTTGGGGCCGACATCCACCAGGGACCAGGCAGCCCAGGGGTGGGTGCTTCAATTCACTCCCTTTTCGAAACAAGGAAACAGGCTCAGAGAGGTGAAGTGCCCTGCCTGAGGTCACACAGCTACTAAATGGCAAAGCCAAGATTCAAACTCCCAAGACTGTCTGCCTGTGGCATCCCAGCTCCTCACACTGTGCCAGCTGTCCTGTAACTTCCACGGAGTGTGGCATTTAGAAGGGTGGCCCCAGAGATGGCTTCATAGACCCCGAAGGGGTAAACTGAAATGGATTTATTAATTATTATTATTATAATTCTTAGCTCTGTTTCAAAATATTTATTTCGGAGAGAGAGGATCAGAGAGAGAGAGAGAGACACTGACTTGTTGCATTCATTGGTTGCTGCTTGTCTGTGCCCTGACCCGGTATTGAACCCCAAACCTTGGTGTATCGGATGATGCTCTAACCAACTGATACCCGGCCAGGGCTCAGATGGGTTTAAAAGCAGGTGGTTGGAATCCTAGCCACATGCCCTTCCTGCTGAGTCATGGTCTCTCCAAGCCTCAGTTTGCTCATCTGTGAAATGGGGTAACAGGAATGCCTACCTCAGATGGTCAGCGTGAAAGTGCTCGGAGCATGGCAGGGGTTGGATAAATGTCAGCCCAGCCTCCATGCTTCCAGGACTTAGTTTATTCACGTGGGACTGAAGCCGATAATGTCTGACTTCCAGAGTTATTTGGGTTAAAGCAGGTAGAAGGTGCTGTGTGGATGCACCAGTGCGGGCAGGCACTGCTGCTGGTGGGGCTCGGGCCCTGGCCTCAGCCCTAATTCTGGGCGGTTAACCAGCCTGCTGTTGGCATAGGCTGGCGGTGAGGCAGGTTGGGGCGGAGGGGGGACCTCAGATTGGTTTTCTGTTGCCTCAGGCTCCCTTCCCCGGCTCCTGCCCAACCCATCCATTCCAGTGTCTGCTGTCTCCTGTGGGGTTTTTGCAGGTATGAGTAAGGTGGAGGGGTGTTTGGAGGGATGGGTGGGTGTCCTTCCCCCTCTGGGCCTCAGTCTCCCGGGTGGGAAGTGGGCCAGTGCCTTGGCAAGAGATGGAAATGAGGTGAGAAAACCCTTTCTCCCAGCACAGCCGTGAGCCGGCCTTAGAGCCGGGAAGTCTGGGTCCCAGCGCCCGCTCTGCCCTGCCCTCGCTGGGCCTCCAGCTGTACATCGAGGGAACATTAACAACAGTAAAAAAGCAGCTGCCATTTGTTGAGTGCTTGCTATATACCAGGCACTGTCCTAAACTCTAGAATTATTACATTTAAGCCTCACAACAGTTCTTTGGTGTAGGAGCTATCCTGTTAATTTTTTAACTTCGAGCACAAATGTGCAGTCCAGCAAATAATTACAAAGCAAATCCAGGCTCACCCCTCCTGGGTGGCAGTATGCCCCCATTTTACAGATGAGGAAACTGAGGCCCAGAGAGGAGACGTGACTTGCTCAAGGGCACCCAGCCTGTGAGTGGCAGGTGGGGAACAGAACAGGTGGTCACGTGGTTCCTGAGGCTACACAATCCACTCTGGGGGGCCTGTGAGATTGCGGCTGTTCCAGGAGAGGGGCTGGGCCAGGGAGAAGGGGCTCCTAAGGTTCTGAGACCTCCCTTCTCCTGGGCTGGAGCTGAGCAGCATCATGCCCTGAGCAGGGTGGTCTCTTGGGCTGTGCTCTGACCGGAGGGGATGAGACAGGGGAAGGCGTGGGTGCCTCCTGAGGAAGGGACAGCATATCCTTGAGCCCCTGCTGTGTGCCACACCCCTATATGTCACTGAGGAACTGAGGCTCAGGGAGGGGAAGCCACTTGTCCAAGATCACTGAGCTGAGAAGGATTATTGAGGTGTAATTTACATACCATAAAACGTATTCTTTCTAAGTGTACAATTCGGTGGTTTTTTAGTGTATTCAGAGTTGCACAGACATCACACTATTTAATTCCAGAACTTTTCATCGCCCCAGAGAGGAACCCCGTAGCCATTAGCAGTCACTGTCCCCCACTCCTCCCAGTCCCTGGCAACCACACATCTGCTTTGGTCTCTGTGGATTTGCCTATGCTGGACATTCCGTGTAAATGGAGTCCTGTCATGTGCGGCCTTTGTGTTTGTTGTATGGCGCGGACCCTTAAACCACTGAGCCACACTGCCTCCAGTGGCTCCCACCGTAGGCTGGGGACCCTTGGACGTGCATGGGGGGCGGGGCATTTGTGCACACTGTTGGAATCCCTCCAGCCAGAGGCCTGCAGAAAGACCGAGTCTTGGCCGTGGCCACACTGACACTGCCCTCTGTGGGCCCAGTGAGTCGCCCCAGCGCTGCCCAGCCTGGGTGGTGTGAGCCTGAGGGGGCGCCCTCCCGGGTGGGGGACCTGACAGGACACTGGGGCTCTGTCTACCCTGGACAGGCGGCCACTGTGCAGCAAACAGGAAGTGGGCTGGGCCCTCCTAGGTAAATACAGGCGGGCCGGGAAGGTGCCCAGCGTGGCGTGATGCCCCCCGCCACTGCAGCCGGCCAGGGCGCCTGGCAAGCGGGAGGTTTCATTTGGCCAAGGCCCTGAGGTCCCGGCCGGCTGCTCCCAGCGGCGGCTGCTCTGAGGTGGCTGCCGGGCCCGGGCTCCGGGCCCAGCCACTCTGTCCTTTCTGGCAGTCATTCCTTTCTGGGTCCTCAGCCGGTTCACCCACCCTTTCACAGTAACAGAACAACACCCATCCTTTTCGGGGCTCTGCTGGGCCCTGGGCTCGGTGATTTACACACGATCTCACTTAACCCTCTCAACAGTCCACTGGGGTGGGAACCAGGATTATCACCATTTACAGGTGAGGAAACCGAGGCACAGCGAGGCCAGATGACTTCTCCCGGGTCACACAGCTGGTGAGTCAGCAGGCAGTCTGCCCCCTGGCTGTGGTCCCCACCACCCACCCTGCACTTCTTCCACCCCTCCCACCTTCCACCTTCCCTTCTCGTATCCCTCCTGATCCTTGTAAAGTGTCCATTGAAGGCACATGTCCTGGGGCCACATGGGTTTTAATCTTGCTTCCCCCACTCAGGAGCTGGGCAACACTGGACGAGTGGCTGTACCTCTCTGAGCCTCAGTTTCTTTACCTGGAAGGTGGGGGTTGGGTAGGGCTGGGGTCTTCTGTCCAGCACCAGCAAAACTTAGGGTCCTGTCCTCCTAGTCCCTTCCCGCATTCACACCACCCCTCCCAGACTCATCTGGAATGACAGGTGCTCACAGTACTGTTTATTCCAGGGTGCTACAGGAAGTGGGGAAGGGGGGGCAAGGAGCCCCAGGATAGGGCAGGAGGAAGTGCCCTTGGTCTGTCTGGGAGCCCCAAACCTTCCCCCTGGTCTGCCTGCCTCCTCCCCACCCATCACCCATCTTCCTACCTTTCACCTCCCAATGCCGCAGGCGGCACCATTCCTCAGTGCCCCAGGCGGCACCATTCCTCAGTGCCCCCTGCACTTTCTCGCCTCTGCACTTTGACCTTGCTGTCTCCTGTGCCCTTTTACCCCATTCACCTTGTCAAGCCCCAGGCCAAATACCCCTCCTCCTTGCAGCCTTTCCCGTCCCCATCGAGACAAATGCCTCTTTCCCCCGCCTGCACTCTACCTGAACATCAGGGGCCCCTTGTCTTATGAGAAAGCAAGCGCCTGGGCACAGAGCTCAGTGCTGGGGGGCAGCAGACATGAAACAGCCCCTACCTCATGGAACGAAAGCCAGAGAAGAGTTGGATAAAAGGGTGATACGTGTGAATGTAAATGTTTAATCACGAGAAGTGCTGTAAAGGGAGACACATGTTGCTCCGAGAGCGAGCTTTAGACTGGGGCCCAGGAAGGCTCTTCAGGGGCAGTGCTGGGTCAGATGGGACCTGAGGAAGGGGAGCTGGGCAGGCAGGACAGGCCAGGCAAAGGCCTGGAGGGGGAAAGCCACCCTTCTTGATTCTTTCGGGAGGCTCCACTCTTTTATGCTTGCCCCGGGTGCCCTGCAAACAGGTGGCACTCAACAGATTCCTTTTGGAGTGAACGGATCCTGGAGGGAGGGAGCTAGGAAGAACCAGCTCCCTGAAATTCTTTGCCCCCGGGGTGGAGCAGCCCCACATGCCCAAACTTGCCTCCAGGTTTAAGCAGCTTTCCTTGATCACGTAATCAGGAGGATGGGATTTGTCAAATTCGTGCCAGGGTTTCCATGAGATCAGGGGTACGGAGGAGGTGAGGATGGGCCCCTGCTTCCACCTTCTGCGGGCCTGCTGGGTTGGGGGGGGGATGGAGCAGGAGACCTCCCCCACCTCCCGTTGAGCTCAGGATTCTCAGAGAGATGGCACTTTGCTGTTTATTGAGGGCTTTCTCTGTGCCAGGGGTTTGACTCAACTCGCGTAATTCTCGCAATAACCCAGTTAAGAGGAACGCGAGACTCAGAAAGGCCAAGAAACTTGCTCAAGCTCGCCCAGCTAATGAGAGGTGGGCCTGCCTGGGAGCCACCCCCCTGGTCTGTATGACGTCAAGATGCATGCTCTTTCCATGCTCCACCCGCTCCCACCCGGTGAGGAGTGGATTTGGCTGCCCCCGTGAGTCCTCAGGGGCCATCAGAGCAGAATGTGTGACCTTTCAGATGGCCCTGTGCCCGGAGAGTCCGGAGCCTCTGTCCAGGGTGGAGAGGAAGGCTTGGGGACCCTGGCTCAGGCCTGAGTCTCCTCACCCTGCTTAGGACCCCTTAACTCGGCCACTCCTGAGCTCTCCTGGTCTGCACAGCACTTAACACGACCCACNTTAGGACCCCTTAACTCGGCCACTCCTGAGCTCTCCCGGTCTGCACAGCACTTAACACGACCTGACTCTGCGGCCTGCTTTGTCTAGCTGTGTACTCTGTTTCCCCACCACAATGTCAACCCCAGGAGGGCAGGGCTTTCTCTCTGTTTTCCTCACATCTGTGTCCCCAGTACCTGGCACACAGTAGGTGCCCAATAAATATTTGTGGAATGAATGAATAGGTAAGTGGCTTCTAACCCTGCTCCTTAGGCTCTGAGATTCAGATCCCCCCTTCTGTCCATCCTGCCACAGCTACCATCTGTGTCTGGACGACAATCTAGTATTTGTATTCAAACAAAGGGGTTGGATGCTTACAACAAAAACATTTGAAATCTGTTGCTTCAAATGAACGCGGTGGTGACGCTGTGTGGGCATGTTCACGCTCATGCATGAATGTCCTCGGTTGGGCCCCTGATGCCACGAGTAAGCATACGGGACATTCACAGGCGGAGGGGGCGCCCACGAGGACTCGCAGCCTCTCCCCCGCCTGCACCCCTCCTTCCCTCGGAGTCTGGCACGGGTTTGGAATGTGTAATTACAGCCCACAGGGCAAATTAGAACAGGGAGTGAACTCTTTCCCGGACCACAGAGAACAGGGTAGTGTTTGGGGAGGGAACTGCCACAGAGCAGCAGAGCTGGCTGTGTGTGTGTGTGTGTGTGTACACGTGTGTGTATGCGTGTGCATTGGTGTGTACACATGCCGGATGGTGTGGTGTGGAAGGAATCCAGGGTTGGGATCCGGAGGCCATTTGCTCCCTGGGTGGCCTCTCAGAGCCTCAGTTTCCTCAGCTCTAAAATGGAGCAGTAGCCCGGCTTTGCTCGCCAGGCTCTGCGGATTAACCGGGGGCGAGGCTTTAAGGGTCTTGGTGAGTTTTAACGCGGGCCGTGAACGCCAGTCTGCACTACTCCCGGGGTGTGCACGGGAGGGTCGAGGAGGACAGGGAAACTGGGACCTAATGGTGATGATGATGATGAAAGCAGTTTCCAAATACCTGATAGGTGCCCAAGGGACAGCCAACCTGCCTCATGTCATAGCAGCCCCGTGGGATAGACACTGATTGCAACCCTCATTTTACAGGTGGGAAACTGAGGCTCAGAGAGATTTGCCTGAGCTGTAGCAAGAATCCTTACCTCCCGGGGCTGTTTTGCAACTTAAACAAGGTACTGTGAAGGGCTCAGTGTGGCACCTGGATGCTCCCATTCAACGGAGGGAGGCCCGGGCTCTGCAGCCAGCTGCCCAGTTTTGATAACCTGCTCGGTGGCCTGAGGCACTTAACTTCTCTGAGCCTCAGTTTCCTTCTCCATAAAACGGGAATTACTGCAGTGCCTACCTGCAGCCTCAGCACTGTAGACCTTTTGTTCTGGATCATTCCTTGTGGTGGGGACTGTCTTTGCATTGTAGGACGTTTAACAACGTTCCTGGCCTTGACCCACTAAATGCCAGTAGCCCTCTCTTCCCTGCACATGTGGCATTGTCCGCAGACATTGCTAGGTGTCACTGGGGAGTAGAATGGGCCCCACTGGGAGCCACTGGACTGGGGTTGTGGTGAGGATCCAGTGAGCATGCGCCTGGGAGGCACGTAGGCTGGTGCCTGGCACAGGGTGAGAGCAACAGAATCTGGACAATGCTGGAGGTTTATTTCATAATTATGATTTCGTCATAATTAAAATGCTAATAATGGACACTGTGCCTTGCCCAAGGCAATGGGGCAGCCAGTGAGTGGCTGGGAGGGGATTTGAACCTGGGGCTGGCTGACTTCAGACCCGCAGCTGTGGAGCCTCTAGAAACCCCAGATGCTGTCTTGGTTGGGGTTCCTTAGGGAAGGGGGTGCTCGCATGGTGGGGGGTTGGAGGGACCCTCGTAGCTGCCTGCTCTGGCCTTGGGAACTCCCTGAGAGAGGGATGTCCATGGGGCCCTGCCCCAGTGGGGGAAGGGTTGCCTTGGGACAGGGTGCGGTAATTAAGAGGGTGTTGACAGCAGACAGGGCTGTTCCTGGGGGAGTCTGATTCCCCCCTCAATGCTTAGATCCCCAACAGACACTTCTTCCTGCCTCAGCATGTGGTGTTTGTTCCTGCAAAACAAAGCCCAAAGTCATGCAGCAGCCGCTAGGGGGCAAGGATCCAGGTCTCCCTCTCCCACCTGGAGGGGGAACAGAAACTACTGTCTCCTGAGGTCCTACTAGGTGCCAGCGCTGAGTGGGTGCTTCAAATTCCTGAGGTCACTGGCATCTCCCAAGAACTCTAGGAGACGTGGTCGCCCAGTTTTACATGTGGGGAAAACCGAGGCCTGGAGAGAGGAAGTGGTTTTCCTAAGCTCACCTATGAAAAACCTGCAATTGTACCCACTTTACAGGCGAGGAAACCGAGGCTCAGGTAGCTAAAGTGATAGGTAAATAGCAGGGCTGGGGTTAGAGCCCAGACCTGAATGACTCTAAAGTCCACGCTTTCCTTCCACACTGGTGCCCAGAGAGGGGCCAGTCCCCGACAGGAGCTCTGACATCTGTGCCCGCTGTGCCCCCAAGAGAGGCCTCTGGCAGTCCCCCGCGTCTCTGGCCCAAGCTTTCCTCCTTGCAGCCGCAGAACAAACAAGGTGGGAACCAGTCTTTATTTGCTTCTCTGCTAATGTGTTGGGCGGGAGGGGAGACAGAAAAGAGGACTTTTCAGACATCTCCCTGCTGCCTGGGTGGGATGGTGGGAGTTCCAGGAAACTCGCCCTCGGTGCCCAGCCCCGTCTGCCCAGGGGAGTGCTGCCAAGGGCAGGGGGCTGCCAGCCAGCCAGCAGGGCCTTGCCCCTCCCTGCTCTTGCTCCTGGCTAAACGTTGGACTTGGAGCCAGAGAGACCTGAGTTCAAGTCCAACTCTTCTCCCTCTAAGCTGTGACGGCCCCTCTTTTGTTTATTTATATTTTTAAAATAACTTTTCATTTTTTAATTACAGTTGGCATACAATATTATATTAGTTTCAGGTATACAACCCAGCGATTAGACATTTATGTAACTTACAAAATGATCACCCTGATAGAACTAGTACCCATCGAATACCACACATGGTTGTTACAACATTCAATAATATTGACTATATTCCCCGTGCTGTACAATATATTGACTATATTCCCCATGACTATTCTGTAACTACCAATTTGTACCTCTCAATCCCTTCACCTTGCCCCCCCCGTCCCCCCACCCTCCCATCTGGCAACCCCTAAAATGTTCTCTGCATCTGTGAGTGTGGCTTCCCCTCTTGAAGCTCCAGTTTCCTCATCTGAGAAGTGGGAACCAATAATACCTTTGTCACAAGGTCATTTGTCCATAGGGAGGGCTTCCCAGAGGAAGGGCCAGTTGAGCTGGGAACACAGGCGGGATGGGGGTTAACCAGGCGAGGGGGGTGGTGGATTGGCACTTGGCCCT